TCATAATTCAATGCTCAAACCACTATACCATGTTGGTTCTCTTATTGCTGTGCTAGTTGAGTGCAAATTTTACTTTGAGCTCAGTTTGCAGCCATTGAAGTAAGATGAAGACAAAGGGGGAAAGTGGGAGAAGGAAAGAGAACCCAGGACATTTTAAAAGCAGCTGCAAAAGTGGGATGATAGTGGATCAATCGTGACTGTCCCTGTCCAGTTAGGAGAGTTGGAAGGTATGCAGCCCCTGAATAGGATGGATTGATATGCTTTTTTTTTTTTTTTTTTTTTTTTTTTTTTTTTTTTTTTTTTTTTTTTGGATCTCACTGTTTTCAGGAACCAAAATATGTTGTTGTCTGCCAGTCAGAGTAGACATAAGTATCTGCTGAGAAGACCTGCAATAATCACACTAGATTGTTCATAGGCTCTGAACAAATCCTCTGCCGCTGCCTATTTGGCATTTCAATAAGCTACTGACGTCAGGTGAAGGTCCAATTTCAGCAATAATGTGTATTGCTAGAATTGGAGCATCTGACATCACCGGCTTATTGAAATACCAGGCAGAAGCAGTAGCAAAGGGTTTGCTCTGAGGCAAGAGGATACAGCTTTTTTCCAAGACTGGAAAATTTTCCTACCAAATATCAAACAAAACCTCTTGGCAATCTACCAGCATGATGAGAATGAGTCATCCGAGTTTGCCTCAGGTTGGCCAGGGCATCATTCGTTGGAAAGGAAACTGCCTTTGCAACCTGCTCAACAAACATTTAGAGTCTTTTGTGTCTCCGCTGTGAAAGAGAAAATAGCTCAGTCTCTGACCAGTTTGCATTTCTGAAATGCAGAGCAAAGGAACAAAACCTGGGACTTTGCTATCCGTCTGGATGCTCCCATCATCTGGTTGATTAAAAAAGCTGGAGAATTTGAGCAGTAGATAGAGTAGCAAGCATACAGGAACATACCCTCTCTTGTCTCCCTCTGTAAATTTTGAGTCTGGGCTAGAGATCCCATTGAGATTGGGCTGTTCAGTATCGTGAGGATGATTGCATGGCTTCAGAATATAGGAAATCCACTACCTATGGATTTTGTGGTAGATTTTGCTGCCCTCCTCAAAAGAGGGCAGCTTTTGGGTTTTCCAGAGCTGTTAAGGAGAGCTTGGTGGTGACGCCACAAAGTCTGCATTTGGAGTGAAGGAGGATGTAAACTTAATAGGATTAGGGTCTGCCAGGTACTGTGCACATTTCAGGTTTCACTGCTGGAACAAAGCAAACATGACAGCTTATTCCCCATAGTGATTATAATAATATTCTGACTTGGAGCCAAGACATCTGAAAGATTGCCTCCTCCCATATGAACCTGTCCAAAATCTAAGATCATCATCAGAGGCCTGCTTTAAAATTAAAATCCATCTCACACTAATATGAGAGCCATCAGTCATCTTAAAGTTGACTGTGAGGTGACTGCCCAATGAGTTGTGTGGCAAACCTATCACAGCAGTTTTTGAGGTTGAGAGTGCGTGACTCTCCCAAGGTCACCCAATGGGTTTCCATGGCTCAACAGGGAATCAAACCCTGGTTTCCTGTCATAGTTTGGTGCTCAAAAATGACTACGCCACACTGGCTGACTGCAACTCCCTGAATCCCCTAAGAGTCATGCTGCTGGGGAATTTGGGAAGCTGTAGCCCAAAATGTAAGATCACCAAACCCTGTCCTGAGTTGACTTCTGCAAGAGATCGGGAGGGATATCACACCTGATAAATCACCCAACCAACCCCACCCTGTTTCTGATTTCAGAGCCACCTCTGCATAGCTCAACATCTTCTCTTGCTCCTGCAACATTAAGAAGTTTTGCATGCACCATTCACTCTGGATTCTTTGCAAGGGTGGGAACGGGACCTGATAGGAAAACAAAAAATGCCTACCTATTTATATTCTTAGGTTGCATAAAAGGGATTAAGGTTTCAGCTAACTGAACACTGGCAATTTCCTGGTTCAAAGCGTGACATCCTCTCAGGCAGAAGAAGAACTCTGCCAAGCAAACTGATGATGTTGGCTATTGGGCGCAGACTGAACCATTTATGTATTCATTGTCATGTCTCCTTCCAGGTATTCATAGGCAAAAATAGAAAGACCCTTGCTCAGCTCTGTCTCCCATCAAGGATGTAGCTGGAGGTGGGAAGACGAGGGCATTGGCTCCCCAAATAAAAAACCTGCCCCCCCTCCACCCATGAAATTTTACTCTAGTTTCCAAATTTCTGCCATTGCAGAGAGTGAGGTGTTGATAATCGTCCACACCCAGAAGTCTTATATTTGCAGCATTCATTGAAGGAATGGATGGCCTCTGTATCAAGTGTGCTTGCTTATACATAACAGGTTGATTTCTAGTTCAGCAGTTTCATACCTTTGGTGTTCCTTTTTCAGTGTAGCAAATTCATAATGCAAATATTTCACCTTACAGTTCCATGTTATGTTTTGAATGCACCCCTCCAGCCTGATGCTTATAGTGAGGAAGTTACACTACGCCTTTGGTATCTGCTGAGGTTTGGTTTCAGGACCCATCATGGATTCCAAAATCCATGGTTGCTCAAGTCCCATTATGTACAATGATGTAGTCAAATTGTATTTCTTCTATAAAATGGCAAAATCAAGGTGGAATTTATATTCTTTTGGAATATTTTCAACAAATGGATGCTTGAATCCATGGATATGGAGGGCTAGCTGTATTTCCCAACTCTTTGTGTTCAGGAGAAGCGTGAAAGAACCACTCCTGATGATGCACAATAGTGTCTCATTCCCAACTGATGGAAATCTCATTCACATATATACTGCTACATCCTATAGAACTGTGATATATGTACTTTGACAGTTAAAACAGTGTTCAAACTGCATTAATTCTTCAGTGTAGGTGCAGTCAAAACCCCTTACAAGTTTGCTTAGTCCTTTCTTGGACTCAGTTGTCTTCCTTTGCTGAAGTGGTAAGTTTCACAACTCGTTTTTGCCCAGGAAAAATAATCTTAGATGTAAAATCTATATAGTGATGTGAAAATAATCTTAGATGTAAAATGTATATAGTAATAGGAAAAAAATAATCTTTAAATGTAAAATGTATATAGTGAGTAGCAGACGGAGCAGGTAAATTAGGGATATGGAGGAGAGACCCATAGAAAACTGACACTGGATCAGCATTGTACGTGCTTCACTTTCTTCAGTGGGAGGATTGCAAATTGCAAAAGCACACAGCAATTGACTGACTGGGGCCCTTCACAAGAACAGAGTCCAAAGAAATCTTTCTAGCTCTTTATCCCTACTTGGAATTAATGCACCGCTAGTAACAATATTGCCAATAACATTTCCTCTGGAGAGTAACAAAATCCAGTTTTTTAATGTTTCAACTTCAACATGGTATCTTTTTTAAAACAGTAGTGTATGCTTGTTACAGTTACTAATTTAAAAATTATTACTTGGGCTGAATGCTTGGGCATGTTTGCATTCCTATAATGGGTCCCTTTGAAATCTAATTCATAGAGTTGCAATATGCCAAAGCCAACTTGACACATTACAACACTGGCTTGCTACTTTTGCTTCCTTTTAAAAATTATTTTGATTTAATTATGGCCATTTTTTTGTGTTACTATAACAGACTCTCTTTGAAATCTCTCATTCATAATGTTGCAATATGTCAAAGCCAACCTATTTATTAACACAACAGCATTTGCTTGCTACTTGGCTCCTTTTAAAAGGTACTTTGGCTTAATTGTTGATGGTGTTTTTATTTTCAGTTGGTTTTTAACATAGCAACATGGTGTTTACAACCTTTTGCAAGGGAGTAACAACTACTGAGAAAGATTTTTTTTTGTTTAAAAAGCAACTAGTATGAGGAAGCTTTGGAAAATATTCCAGACACTGCCCTATATATGATCTTTCCTTTGTCACCTGTACTTGACATCATAAGCAATCTAGAGTTTTGAAAGGAAAATAAAAACCTTTATATGCTCATAAGTTGTTAAAATATGGCTCTGCTGATTGTTGTTTAGGTCCACATTTTCTTTAAAGCATCTCTGTTGCAGTGGCGCATTTTATACAGCAAAATATTTCCAAGAATTAATGTGCTAGATTTTTTTTTCCCCTCTGAAAAACTTTCATAATTTGGCTTTTGTAACTTGGGAAAAAATAGCTGCTACTGCTTCTGTGACTTATAATAATATAAAATAACCTTGCAGGGTTGTTAACTCCTTTGTCACAAAAGAATTTTCCTACTCTGTCTTCTGTATCATGTAAACATCACTGCAGAATTAATGCAGTTTGACATCGCTTTAATGGCCATGGCTCAATGCTATGGGATCCTGGGATTTGTAGTTTGGGGAGATGTTTAGCTTTCTCTGGAAGAGAACTCTGGTGTTCCAGAAACGACAAATCCCCAAATCCCATAAGATGGAACCATGAGAGTTAAAGTAGTGTCAAACTGCATTATTTCTGCAGTACAGATTTGACATTAGTTTCCTGGTATCTCTGATATTGATTACTTGATATTTTTCCAACATTGTCTAGCAGCAGCTGTTAATTTCAGCTCTGCTATGGAAGGGAAATTTGGGGAGAGAGATGCTATGTCCTCAGCTGTTTACACAGATAAAGAAGAACACAATGTCTCTTATCGGTTAATGATAATCTTGCCCTTTTCCCTATTTTACTTAAGGCAAACATTATGAAGGATGCTCTTTCTGCAACAGCCAAACAAGTCTGCTCTTTCTAAAAACTGCATATATATATATATATATATATATTTCCTCCTTACAATAGGAAAAGTCCTATAATAACTTTGAAAAATCTTGCAGGGAAATCTCTCCTCCATGTTTTGTCAAACTGAGGTTTCCAATGCAACAAGAAAAAGCGTACAACAAAACTCGTTCCTAATATAAAGACATACCTAGTAATGAAAGTTAAGAAAGTGACTTCTTTGTTTTCAGTGGTTATAGATACAAATCACATTACTGTTAATATGTATTATTAATAATAGGAGCCAGTGTGGCATAGTGGTTTGAGCATTGGACTAGGACTCTGGAGACCAGGGTTCCAATCCCAGCTTGGGCATGGAAAGGTCACTGGTTGACCTTCTCAGGTCATACTCTCTCAGCCTCAGAGGACGGCCATGGCAAACTCCCTCTGAAGAAACTTGCCAAGAAAACCTCACATAGGCTTGCCTTAGGGTCACAAGTTGGAAACGGCTTGAAGGCACACAACAATATACAGTATAACACAATGTGTATGTGTGTGTGTGTGTGTATATATATATATATAT